TCTCCGAAAAAAAAAATGACAGACCGGAGAGCTACAGTGCCACATTTTTTTTTCCGGAGAGCTTAGTACAGTTCTGCAGCTACGTTGAACCAGTTTACACTGAACGCTGCTGTTATGTTGCGACCTTACATGTATGATCGTGAGCTGTTTGAATTAAATAATTTTTATTTTCTATTTCTTTGTAGCTATTAAACCAACATAGCTATAATTTCAATTCTAAAATTATTTTTAGAAATAAACTAATTTCTTCCGTAATATTCTTGCAAGGTGGAACACGGAGGGTCACCCGAGGAAACGGTAATGTCCACGGTGTGCCACGGTGCGTCTTTGGTATAATTGCAATATCCGCAAACCGTGGAATTCCATGTATAATGTACACGGTGTAACACGGGGTATTTTCCAACGTGTGTTTTCCACGGTGGGGTGGTAATAACTCGTGAGCTGTACTGCTGTATCGGTAGAAACTATTATATAAATACTGCATGTAGTTGAGTGTAACATTGAAAATTTTCACCCCAAGAAAACCATTGTCAACCGAGGCGCAGCCGAGGTTGACAATGGTTTTCGAGGGGTGAAAATTTTCAATGTTACACTCAACTACATGCAGTATTTATTATATTATACTGAATGTTTTATTCAAATACATATTACAGTGAACCTTGCGCGCATGAATTCTGCGCAGTCAATATTTTTTGGAATAACACCCGTCGTCAAGCAATGTTAACTGTTGCTACGCTGGTGGGCGTGGCTTCATTATTCAGCGGGTAATAGTGTTTTTTAACAAATGTTTCTCGACGAATCAGATTCAACTAATTTACATGAAAGTATAATATAAGATATTACGTCAGCAGTGGTGAAAATTCAATTCCCCGCCCTTGCGCGGGATTTCATCTAGTGTATCACATTAGAATAGGTTTATTTAATATTAAGTGATTCAAAAAACTTACCCATCATCTGTTTGGTGACCTAGAATAAGAAATAAAAATCATGAAATTATGAAAAAATTATAAAAGTTTCAATGAGACACTAGCTAAATAAACTTAAACTCTAACAGAAAAGTTACGATTTCCGTAAAGTCATTTCATTTAGTTGCATTTAAAAAAAATGGTGAAAGCATATTAAGACTGGAAAGAACAGAGATTTGTCAACACTCATATCAAATTTTTATACATACAAAAAAACCCCATTACGTCAATTACATGACAAGGTTAAGATAACGAACAGTGATCGATCATATAGGAAAATTAAATCTTATAGGTCAATATATGTACATGAAAAGGTTACATTTCAAGCAGATGAATAGGCAACCAAACACACATATAACTAATAAAGAAAACTACAGTATTAAATCGTATTCTGTTTAAAGTAACGATGCAAACGGGGGCAAAAAGTTTCACAAGTTTAATAATGTATCTTGCCAACGTGACGTCACATGCAGCGTCCTGATCCTGGGCGATCCCGAACGGTGTCAGTTTGCAGGGCTGCGTTCAAGATAGTAGCGGCTAAAAGAAAAGCTAGGTGGTAGATATCTATTTCTATTGGACGGATAGCTAGCCTAATCGCTATGTGTTAGAATTCAGATACAAATATATCAGCAAAAATTTACTTTTGGAACAAAAAGAGTTATTTCAAGCAAAAATAAATATTTGTAAATTTACAGTTTATTCGCTACGAAGAAGACACCCCCCCCCCCCCTGTTTAAAAAAGCTTCTGTCCGTAAATTGGAAACTAAGGGAGTCATCTTGGAAATGGTATTTAGTAACAAATATCCCTACCTAGCGGCTAGGCAAGCTTAACGTTCAATATCGTAGCTTTACGTAGAGGCTATGTAGCCGCTACGCTCTCAGATCTTGAACGCACCATTTATTTCGTCTCCATTAAGCATTTACAGTGTTAGTATGAACTCCAAACTGTCTTGCAATATTGGTTTGAGACATCCCATTCTCCAGATCGCAGTGGCATGCAGACGATCATTTTCAATCATATTAAAGGCATCTTTCAATCAAAATTTGTCAAAATGATTCCAAAAACGAATGTTTTTCTCTTTCTATACATTAGATACTATCAATGAATGCAAGAAATTCTAATCGATTACTAACCACGTGTCGCTCATGCTCGAAATTCCAGACAAGCGTCCTGCGGCCATGAAGACGAATCGAACGCGATATTAAGCAAATTGAGTTCTCAAAGAGGCATTTACTACATAAAACTGCACCATTAAGAATATAGAGCAATCAAAGAATACATTTTATTATTTTTATTTAACTTTTAAGTATACACAGCTTCTTTTTCCCGCTAGTAGCAATTTTATAAGATCGACCAAGACCCAAAATCATTTGATCGTTTTTTCATACACGTATGCCTACAGTTTTGCCCGTTTTAATCATTTTACTATAATAAAATAAATGTTTTTTCTTATAAAATATTTTTCATGATTAAGTTGATACTATTGAAGTCAGCTAGTTCCTATCAGGTTTAAACGTGTTCCGCCTGTAATTGATCGACTCAAAAAACTTTGGGCAATTTTTAGCATAACTTATTATTACGGGAAACATTGCAAGTAATTAATCTTAACATGATTTTGATATTTTATTCCGAAAATTTCCCTCTTCTTCCTCCTGATATAGAAAAATATATAAAAATGGTTTACGGTTATGATGCAGCATACATGTCTATACATGTGTATGTTCTAATTATTTACCAATGTTTTGTCATATATAATTTTGAATGAAAAACTCAAGAAAGAGTATTTACCGAGTACAAAAAAGTGCGTATATCATAAATATAATGAGTATTTCCATATAGATTTTGATCAAAAATATTTTATAAAAATTCTTTATATTTGAATTTTGAAACTTTGTGTAGTCTATCAGCGAATCTGTTTACGCATTTTAAATAAAAAAAAGTTGTGATATAATTATTATTCAACCAATTCATGCCAAAGTATTTTTTTGCTTAAATGTGAAAGGGGGGGGGGTATGTTAACAGACAAAAGCACAGCAAAAATGTTCATTTTGTTACTTTTCTTAATTTTATAGAAGTTATACATAAAGAAAGGTTGAAGAGTCATTTATCAATATCCATGATTATTTTAAACTCCATGTTGTTTTAAAGCCTAACAAGGGAAAACATTGTCTATCCTCTTATAAAAAGAGCTGTTCGCTGTAATATAGAGCAAATATCTATTTGACACTGGTTTTGAAATTGTTAATAGTTTATTAATGAACTCATCTTTGAATTAAAGAAAACGTTATTTTGGCTAAATTCCCACTGATTTTGAATAAAATGGGTGTAAAATGTGGGCAGGAATCGAGAGTTAGCATGCGTAGTTCTGGAAAAAAATAAATGAAAATTATATTTTGGAGTGACCAAGTTTAACTAAAATCAGAAAACAGCTCTGGAAGGAATTAATATCATATCAAGAAACATACAGAAAGACGGGCAGGCTGCGAACTTCTTACTAATGCAGATAAACTAATAGGCTTTTGCCATTGGTGGCAAGAGATAGAGGAATTTCAAAACTGAAGAAAAAAAGATAATCATATAATTATATACGTACCATTGGCTTTTACTTCTGATGTCTTGTCACTTAAAAAAAGCCCATTTTAAGTAAGAGGATTGGTATGAAACTTGTTTATCACATTTAATGCTTCTGAACAATTTGATATTACAGATATATATTGCTGTTTGTAAGCACTTGCCTATACTTTTCATGTGGTATGAAAAATTTTATTTATTTCTCGTAAATGGGCTTATTAATGATACAGTTACTTTCTTTTTTCAAAATTCTTCATCTTACCTTAGGTTTGGATTTCGTTCTGAAACTAAGATAATTCAAAAGTTAATAATCATTGTGATACATTCTATGTTCTCAAAATTAATTGTGGAAATATACAAAATCTATAAAAGGAAGGTACGTACCTACACAGTTTATCTGGTATTTTCTATTAATTGCTATGAAAATCAAAACCAGAATAATACAAAAGATGCCCCCAACTGTTCCACCAATGATTCCTCCTATATTTGGCTTTTGAACTGATGTTTGAATGTCTGCAATATATAGATACTTGGAAAGAAATAATCACTTTATTTTTTCCCTTTCAAAACCTTTGTTATATTCTAAATTGCTTGTATCAAACATAAAAAAATAAATGATAAATTTTATATGAACATGCTATTTACCATTTTATATGCTTCTTTTCTCAAATAAATATTTTATTTTCTGAATTCTAAGTGCATTTTTTGAATGAAATGTCAAATTTGTTCTTTTTCTTACATATACTGCACAATGTGACAAAACAATTTTGTACGTCCTGTATGTATTAAAAATCAATTGATATTGTTATGGGGAGGTAAACATGTCTAACTTTGATAAATAGAGTATAATAACGATACAATCATAATTTATTAAATATATGAAACAATGCATAAAAAACTAACACCCCCCTCCCCCCCCCCCCCCCAAACACACACTTACACAAACATACACATACAAAAAGACAACACTCCTAAAAAAGGGAAGAAAGAGAGAAAGAAAAATAAACAAATGGATGTAACATTGGTGAATATTTGGATCTCGAAATGGAAAGTGGTATTAAGAGAAACATAAATATTGCACTGGAACTTAAAAAATTTTCTTTTACAACTTTTTACTAGTATTAAATTCCAATCAAAGTGGAAATTTTTCATTTAAATTCAACTTTTCATGACATACATATTAATTTCAGCAGTACGATGTTAAGGGTGCAAGCTGAGCTATGAGGTTTTGATTAACAATTGGCCAAACTCTGACCTGAAAATGCAAAGTAATATAATGTATAGATATTACTTACATCCTGTTGTGCAATTTGGCATCTCTGTAGAATCAGTAGCACCAAAATTATTCCTTGCAATGACTACAAATACATACTCTGAAGCTTGCATTAGATTGTCGACAGTTACATTCATCTTGTGACCCTTTCCTTGGTCTAATGCGACCTTCTTGTATTCTTGATAATTCCTGTCATTTAAGGACTTATATTTGATGCTGAAATTCTGCGTCGAGCCACCATTCAAATTGCTGGTCCAAATAACGTTGGCACTATGTATTTCACAAGTAACACGAACATCTTTAGGGGCAAATGGCTTTCCTAAAAATAAAGTTTTCATTTGAAACCTTCCATTTAACGATGATACAAACATGTTTCGACGATGATAATATCGAAAATTAGGCTATACATTTAATTTTAATGAAATCGTTCATTTATCATTGTTTTTACTCCAGTGCGTTCGAAGCACCTGGTCGCCCGCGTGGCGCAGTGAGTTGGAGCGTCTGCTCTAGTTCTAGAGTCGCGGAGTAAGGAGTTGATCCTTACGTCGCAGGTTCGAATCTTACTGCGGGACGCGGAGACCGGTCCTTCGGATGAGGTCCCGTGTCGCAGTAGGTGCTGACACTTAAAAGATCTCTCATTGTTCAATGGCCCTAAGTGCCGCGTATAGGTCAAAATTGTAGCCCCCCACCGACAAGTGGTGGCGTCTCCATGTGAGTGAAAAATTCTCGAGAGGGACGTTAAACAACATACAATCAATCAATCGAAGCAGCTGCATTGAACGCTTTACTGAAAAGGCATGTGTACATGTTTTTACTTTGATGAGAAGAATAATTCAAATAACATGATTAATGTAAATTCATTATAATTAAAATCTCTCTTTCCTTTCTCTCCCTCTTTCTCTGAAACTTCAACCCAATACCAGCTTTCTGTTAAAAAAGAACTTTTATCACTTTCGGCGCACTGATATCTAATGCACCAAATGTTTAAACCAATTTCACAATATGACTCAAGAATCACTTAAAAATATAATATAACTTCTATAGAAGCATACGTAATGGAAGACTTTTGAAGAATGTCGACCCTGACCACAATAATATCGGTACATGTTTAAGATTTACACAAAAATATAATCCAGATACTTTAAAACTTGTCTAATCCAGATGTAGTGTATTCCAAAATCTTGCCTAATACGTTGTAAACTTTAAGTCCCTTTCAGTTAATTCATTTGTTTACAAGGTTGTGTAATCTGGCAATTTTTTACTGAACCAGTTGTGTCCAGATTAGACAAGTTTTATTATAATTATTACTACTGAAAACAAGTTAACATTCAATCTCCAAATATATATGAAGAGAAAAGAAGAATAAGATGAATTATCAGAAAAAATACAGAATTCTGTTATCTTTGCATATCATACTGGTGTACATCGATCCTGGACACAGTGTAATTTTCTCTCTACATTTTTGCTTGTTTACTTATCTATCCGCTATAGTCTCTCTCTCTCTCTCTCTGGAATAATGAAGACTAGATTGGCATATATATTTTTTTTATTTATATATTTTTCCTATCTCACTAGCCGTGCAAGGGGTGTTTGACACAATTTCTTAATGGGGAAAGTTTAGAGTCGTGTGTAATCGTTAAACTTTCAACTAGTAAACATTTCAGAATACATTGCAGAGGATAATTTAAATAGTTTTTTGAAAATATTGATGGTTTTAAAAATGAATAATAATCATTTTTCTTTTGTGAGATTTACATGTATCTAACTTCTCAGTGAGTGTTAATGGAGCTTAGAATTCACTAAGTTTACTATGTCGTGATTGCACATCATCCCTTAAACAAAGGCTAGTGGATCGTAAACACAGAACTTGTTGGATAGGTATATTCAATCATAAACAATTGAGGATCTTTTATTTTTTTTAATGAAACTTGCAATGTACAAGATCTGGAAAAGATATTGTCCAATCTGTTATAAAAGCTTGGTACAAACGCTTCTCTTTTTCTATTATTTGATCATAATGATAACTGTTTGAACAATCATAACTGTTTAAAATAACAGGCCATATGAACTGAAGGGGGAGGGGGCTAGTTTTGTCGATATAGACACTTAGTGAACAAACCCATTGCGTGGTTGTGCCCTGCAAAAATAACGTGTTGGTTTGATAGCAAAACGAAAAACCGATAAAATCCCCTTTGATCTACGGAAAGGTATAATGGGCTTTTGACTTGTGTTTGCAAAAGCCTGATCTACTCAGATTTTATTATTAATTGGATAAAAACACTATGTGATATATTGGAAAGACGTAAACAGTATTCAAAGCTATGTAAAGCTAAAAAGCTATGTAAAGTAGACACAAAAAAGTAGACACAGAATCCCAAATTTTGCTTACTTACGTTGTGGTCTTATAATGAATGTTATCATGGCTGTTTTCTCTCCAATGGCTATAGCGGTATAGTTTCCATATTCGGACAGAGAAATTTTGTTGTTAACAAATGTTGACTGGATCAAACTTTCATTTACATTCATTGTAGTGTAGTTTTTCACTGGAACCGTTTCATTTTTATTCATCCCTTCACGTTTAAATACCCATGTGACTGATGGTGGTGGATATGCAGTAAACTGAGCTGTTATATTTAATCCTGCATTTTCTGAAATCCACTTGTGTACAATTGTTTCACCATGGAGTGGCCGAGGAGCACCTTGAATAAAATAGTTTGCAAATAAAACCAATATATTCTGTTTTTATTTACCGTAATTCAATATTAGAATATTTATTAGTCCAATGTGATTGCATGACTTGTACAGTGTATGCATTTTCTTTTGCCCAGTGCTGTTTTTTATCTGACTAATATTTTTTCTCCACTGACATCGTAACAATGTTGATGATTCATCTATTTTATAAAGGATTTCACATTTTGGATTGCATTGTGTCTTGCAGCAACTTTAAACATATCGCTTATCGAGTCGAACAAAAACTTGCAGAACTGAGACATCATTCCCATTTTTTGGTATAGAACCAACAGTTGGAAGGAATGTAATGTAAGAAGGAAAGTAAAGTTTCTATTAAAGATATATTTGACGATTCTTTTTCCGATCCCATGTGTTCTATTTCCAAATGTTCTGTAAAAAAAACTGTAAAAGTGTGATATTTTGATTACTAGCTCTTCATTTCTTGTAATTTTACTGGACAGAGCTTCCATACCAAAACTTGGGAAAATCTGAATTGCAAATCTTCTAATGTAGTCTACGGAATAGAATGTACTCTTTGTGGACTTATTTATGTTGGTGAAACCAAGGGTTCACTTAATAAAAGAATATCGGGGCATAGATTTCAGATTAACAACGGGGGCCAGCAGCTTCCATACAAGCATTGTAATTTACCTGATCATTCTATTTTGTCAATGAAAGTTAGAATTCTAGAAAAGATTTACAATCATACTAATAGCCCATCTCTGAGTACACCTTTCCGTAGACAACGAGAAGAATACTGGATAAGAAAACTAGGCACGGCCTTTCCATATGGTAGCAATGACAATCTCGATAGTGTTGGGAATCTTTCAAGCCTACAGTGTAGCAATATGAATGTGATGGGACTTTTTAACTGTACAAAGAGACGTAAGCGTAGTCATGGACATCGGTCTTACAATAAACCTATTATACACGATGTCTCCTTTGATTCACTGCTACCTTATGTAAATAAACAAACATTCTGAGAGTATTGCATTAGCAATACTAGTCCCCTACCGGCAAGTGTAATCTGGTTCCCGTTAAGAATTGAAAATGCCATAATTCTGTCAAAAATTAATGAAGCGGGACGAAATGCAAACTTGATCTATAACTAATTAAGCTAAAGCCACATACCAAAAATCAGCTCAATATCTACAAGCGTTTAGAAGAAAATTGCGGTAAACCCTTAAAAATTGAAAAGGCCGTAATTCCGTCAAAAATCAATGAAGCGGAACGAAATGCAAATTTGGTCTGTAACTTATCAAGATACACTCACATACCAAAAATCAGCTCAATATCTGCAGGCGTTTAGGAAAAAAGTGCGGAAAACCAAGTGGGACAGACTGACAGACAGACAGAGGGACAGACAGACAGACGGACACAGACTCAGAGGAAACCTATAGTCCCCTCCGGTTTCACGGGTAGGGGACTAATAAATAGGCCTTCATGACATTCGCACCAAACTTTACTCTGTCCTTTTGAAAATTTTAAATAGTCTATTTGTGATTGTGAAGGAAAGTCCATTATTTTGATTCCTCACCAACAGAATACATATAGTTAATAATAAGGACCTTAAATCACTTATTTTAAAAGGGCTAAAATTTAAGGAATTCTGATCTTTCAACTGGAATAATAATGTATGAATTCTGCCGAAGATTACGCCAGGGGATGGGCCAATCATGAACAAGAAGACCTTGAGACTTTGTCAGAATAGATTAAATGTATCAGATGTATGTTAAAATCTCGCATTAATTGATTGAGGGGCAATATGAAAACCATCTATCCTTCTGTGTTCAATAATTCAGAAGTGAAAAATTGCGGGTCCTTCGCATGAGACCTTACAAACCGACGCTTTGATTGACAATATCTATGTGGTTTTGGAGACCAGGTATTCCAACAACTGTTGGAATTCCTATGGATACCAATTGCGCCCCGTTGTTAGCAGACCTATTTTTGTATTCATATGAAGCAGAATTCATTCAAAATCCTATACAGGAGGAAAAGATATCTCTTGCTGTGGCCTTCGACATTTAGATATATTGACGACGTATTATCAATTAACAATAGTTATTTCCATTCATATGTCGACACGATATATCCCAATGAGCTTGAAATAAAGCATAGGACAGAGTCTGTCACATCTGTTTCATATTTGGATATTTTACTAGAAAAAGACGTTAATGGTAATCTAGCAACAGAGCTTTATAATAAAGGAGATGACTTTTTTTTTTCAATCGTTAACTTCCCCTTTTAATGCAGCAATATACCCTCATCACCTGCATATGGGGTGTATATCTCTCAGTTGATTCGATACACATGAGTATGCTCTACGTATGAAGAATTTCTAAAACGAGGTAAGTTATTGACAAACAAGTTTAAAGTCTTCATTTCGTACGTTCTATGGTCGATACAATGACCTTGTCAGCAAATACAATCTATCATAAAGTCATATGCTGACTGACGTTTTCCATACTTATTTTTAGGCCATTATTTACACTCTAAATTGTCGATGGGTTTTCCCGTTATTTCCCGATCAAGACAAGGAGCACATGGTTAGTGTGACCGGTTGGCAGGGGTTGCTCACTCCTCCATGGCACCTGATCCCACCTCTGAAGTTTTTGGAGATCCTTGTTTGCTCTGATCCCGATTTGTATTGTTTTAATGGACTTTAAGCTTGAATACTGTTATCTCCATATTTCATGCTATAGCTTTGCAATACACTCACTGGTGGGTCGAACAAAATAAATGTGTTTTTGAAAACTACAATGAAAATTACACCTGTGACACGAACAATGGGACTTAATTTCTTGCGCAGACATTATTTTGCATCCAAGAAACTTTATAAGATCAAACTTTGATTCCTCAATGTACCCCCACTGTTTTGTGGACCATGTTTTGAACAAACTGAAATCAAAAATTTAGAAAATTTTAAATTTAGAAATATTTTAAAATTAAGGATTATCTCCCTCATGCATAGCTCTGATGGTTCAACGTATTTAGCTCCACTCTTTGACCCCTTTTTTAAGCTCTTCCAAGTCTCTTTTATTTAAATATTTTAGATTTCCAACGTTTCAGCTTGAGCATCACTGAAGAGACATAATTTGTCAAAATGCGCATCTGGTGCATCAAAATTGGTATCGTATATGATTTACATCAACAATTCTTGAGGATGGCTGTATATAACCCAGTTAATCATTTCCTTACTGTTCTTAAACATAAGGTTTTAAAAGATGTTTTCTCCTGATACTCCCATATAACATTTGGATCCCCTCATGTTGCCAATCTCTACCCCGGGAGACCATGATTTAAACAACCTTAAATCATCATAACTTTGCATATTTATTCGACTAATGTTGACATTCTGTTTTGAGAAGACTTTTATTGAGTCGGTAGCCATAATTTCAAATAAAAAAAGTGATTTTGCACAACTATCGCCTGCTGCATATAAATACGACTAATCTGCTTTTGATGAGATTTTTTTTTTCAACATATATATTTCCATGTGAAAATTTAATGCCCTGTTTTGGTCACAACCTATTCCAGGAGGACATGCCTTACACAAACTTGAATCTTCACTGCCTGAGCTTACTTGCATATTAATATTCCTGCTGTTCTTGAGAAGAAAATTAAAAAAAATGCCTTTGTTTTATATAGATATAAAACGTTGATTCTCCAATGTGAACTCACATTCCATAGGGTACTGGTCATGATTTTAACAAAATTGAATATGCACATGAGGACGCTTCAGAAAATTTTAATCTTTCTTACGCTCCGAAATTCTGATAGTCGCTGTACAAAGACTATCAGAAATTTGGAGCGTAACAAAGATCTGATTTTAATTAGATCGATTGCTTTCTGATCAGTAGTATATGAGAATTAAGATTTTAAGACACATTCCATTTTTACCTTCTTTATATTATTATCTCAACTTTCTAGAGAGATTCTCTCATTAAAAAAAAGAAACTTGAAAATCTGTTACCGAAGAATTGGCTGCTTTGTGGCTGAATGCTTTATTGTAAAATTCGTCTTTTGATCCAGGAGAAGTCGCAACATTAAGACGGTCAGACGGACATGTAGAAAATGATAAGAAAATTTCACTTGAGCCTTAGGTTTTGACGAGTTTAACACTTAAAGAGCTTCGCTCCTGAGCTTTTGAGCAGATTTTTATCTTAACCTATATTTTAAAAATTATGCATAATGTTTAAATTCTTACAATAAATTTGGATTCTACAATGCCAATTAAACTATATTAAGTTAAAACTCCCTGATTAAATTCCATACCAAAGGCATTAAGTGAGGAACTATATTTTGTGGCGGAAGGGTTTTTAGAAGAATATGATCATTTTTTCGCTTTCGAAGTATTTAAAGTATATTAAGTTTGGATTCCTATTTTACAAGCATTCTGCACACAGAGTTATTTTGTGCAGTGAACTGTTTTATACTGGTCCTTAATTATATATTAAATTAACTGTCATGCATTCTATCATCATATTTGATAAATATAGCAAATATATTGTGAAAAAACAAGAAAAAAAGCGCTCTAATTTAAGCTTAAAATTAGCACTATTTCAGTAATATCTAAAAATTAACATCACAGACCCCCCCCCTTTTAATTTTATTTTCTGAATATATAACATACTTTTAACCATTCTTCTTAAATTCAGTAAAATGTCATTACTTTCAAATGATTTTTTGCTTGTTAAATTCTTAATTCCAGCAAAATGAAATTTTTTGAATGCAAGAAGGTCAAATAATTATACATGCGGAGTAATTCGAAATTTTTTCCATTGTCACAAATTTTAATGTGTCTATTCATGATGAAATAAGACTGTGTTTGTTCCCATTATTTATTTGAATAAAAAATATTGGAGGAAAAACTTTAAAAATTGATTTATGTGTAAGACGTGTTTACAGTGCAAAAAGGTCAAACTAAATGCTCTGTAGCGCCAAAAGAAGCGCATTG